TGTTTGTTTCAGCCTCTTAATGGTTCAGATGTCTGAATAGTTCAGCACTTAATGGTTCAGACTGTTTGTTTCAGCCTCTTAATCGTTCAGATGTCTGAATGGTTAAGAGATTTGCCTCTGAATGGTTAAGTATTATACAGAGTCTGAATGGTTAAGACCTTTTATCTGAATTGATCAGACATTTGCCTCTGAATAGTTAAGCAATATACTAGCTCTTAATGGTTCAGACCTCTTACTGGTTCAGCACTTAATGGTTCAGACCTCTTACTGGTTCAGCACTTACCGATTCAGAAGTTTCCAAACAGCCCCGAAGTGTATATATTCTTTTAGCAATCTAATTCAAAAATTGTACGAGTAAAGAGAAGATCTTTAAATTACCTATTTGCCCTTCAAATCTTTGAAATTACTTTACCATCTTATACAAAAATGTCATTTTAAATCATGGTTCCGTTTGATACATGGAATTCAAATTATGAAATCGAAATTAGAGACAACAATTCTAATTTTTTATTTGGTAGCACAAAATATGAGGATTTAAAATTGGTAGTGCAAAAAAGTAATTGGAATTGAAAAGTTCAATTCCATAGAATTTCAATTTTCAATTTAAATTTAATTTCATGTACCAAAACGAACCCTCATAGTTTTTCAATTTCTCTTATTTATCTATTCTACCAAGAGTGATGTTTACATGGGTCTTAAGGTTCACATTTAATATATAGACATTCTCACATTTTTCATAAACTTGCATGTAGATATTATTTTTTTTTTGAAAAAGCTTACTTCTTTATATTACAAATGCGCTAAGATCAACAAAATTGACATGGACATTAAGAGCATGAACAATGGCAAGGCATATTCAGGGATGCCACATGCTCATGTGTCACAGTTCAACCAATTGAAAACAGCCTTGTCACGCAGCATGCCAGTGGAGTGGCATGCTTTGCAATGACAATTCATAATTTTTCTCAATGTTTACATTTTTGACATATTTTAATTAGTCCAAGTATATTTATTTATTTTTTGTAGTTATATATAATTTAATTATTCAAAATTATTTTATTTATCAATTTGAATTGTGTAGTCTTGGATATAATGTTAATTTTAAAATATATATTTTTAGCTTTAGAACCAAGGGTTACGTTATTAGATTTTTAAAAAGGGAGTTTAATTTTTATTTTTTATTTTTTTGAAGGAAGAGGGTTTTTATTTTTAGATACAAAGAAAGATGGAAAAGAAACAAATGCAAGATTGAAAGTGAGGCAAAAAAAGATGTACTCTAAAGAATTCTTCTTTCTTGTAAGAAAAACATTTTTTTTAAATCCAAAAAACAAAATTTAAAAAACAATATGGAAGTTTCGCGTTTTGTAACTTTTTATATTTTTTAGATATTTATTATTATAAATTAGTTTTCATATATTCATATAATAAAAATATGTCTATAAAAATAACTAAATTAAATAAGAAGTATTTCTTGTTTTTTTTCCAAAAGGAAAAAAAAGAAAAGGAATTGGGGCAAACTCACATGCCACGGAAAGGGGAGTTACCCCTTCATGCCTCGCCTAATTAAATCGTGTCAAATATGTGGCAGACCGTTGAAGTAAAACAACACGCCATTGCTTGTGTTCTAAGTCAACGGAAGAATTTGCCTTCTACCAAACATATAAAAGTACAACTTATTTAATTTCAATTCTTTTCTTGTTGAATTGTTTTCTTTTCACTTTACTCATCCAAATTTTCTACTCCCTCCCTTCTTGAAAACAATTCAAAATGTTTCAAAAAAACAAATCAATTTTTGACCAAGTGGCAAAATAAAGAAGTACGAAATATTAAATTGTAGTTGACTTTAAAATATCTATCCAATATATCATAATTTCAGCAACTTCCTTGCCACAATGCCAATATGTTTCGACTCTTATCTCATCTCATATTTATCTCATCTAAACAAAGTGTAACTCGATATACCCTTTGATAATCCATAGAAAACTTTGTTAAATTTTAAAGTGCGTAGAAAACCTGGCGACAAATTCAGTAGGAAAATTTGATTTTTTTTGGGACATACTCCTAAGAAGTCTTTAAATTGTCTTTATACTTTTCTTAATTTTTTGTCCATAAAATTTCTTTCCATATTTTATATCAAATATTTTTTATTTAAAGGTAATTACCACCCTCATTTTTACATACTTCTCCGTCCAAAAAGAATTACACATTTCAATTTCAAAAACTAAGGAAAATTTATTTATTTGTGTGATTTGATTAATTATTTGATAAAACAAAATGTTCTTATCACAACTTGTTTTGTAAAAAATTTTTGACATAATTTTTAAATGTATACATTTTATTTTTAATTTCTATACTAACCTGACTTTTGCATGTAAAGTTACACTAAGAAGATTAGAAATAAAGTGAGGGTATAATTGATGTATTTTTATTTATTTGTGCTCCCAAAAGAATTTCTCGATATGCATGTGCGTCACTTTGAAGAAACCGAAGAGTAATGGATTCTGTGTGGATTTGGATTCGTAAAATGCTTAACCAAAGAATCGAACCAAGATGCCACAAACAAAATACTCACAAACTTCACAAACTTACTATTTATGATTTAAAATTTTATTTTAAAATCATTTTAGACCATTTAATTTTATTGGAGCCCTTCAATTTGTACGTCTCTCCAATTAGGTTTGAACCGGAGGAGTTATAGCCGCCACCGCCACAGCGCCGATAATAAACGAATTCGCACACTTATTTACCCCGCCGCCGCCGCCGCAAGCGTCGGTTATAAGCGATTCACAGCCGCTCATCAGTCCAGATCTATCCTCTAATGCCGCACCCGCCGTCCGATCGCTCTCCTCCTCATCCGCGATTTCATCTGCGGGAACAAGGAGGACGTCGAGCGGAACGAGGCGGAGACGGAGGCGGCCGTCAGAGCGGTACGCCTCGAAGTACTCGTGGCGCTCGGATTTCTCGCCGGTAATCACCAGTCTGCCGTCCTCCGTGTACCGCCGCCTCATGATCCACGGCACTCTGGAGGAGGGGGAGTTCCCCGTCCTGGCAAGCCACGGCAGCGGCGGCGGAAACTGTGCGGGGGACTTGACGAGTCCTCCCTTCCACTCAACTCGGCGGCGACTCATTGATGACTCGGAATCGGCCGCTCCAATAATGGAATCGAAACAGCTCTCGCCCATCTCCAGAAAACGCATTAATTGATAAAATTCAGCCCCCGATTGAATCTCCGTCCGATTACTCAGATCCGATTTCCGATCGGAAAGTGAAATTCGTTAATTGGAATAGAGGAAGGGATAGGGTTTGAGTGAATGCATGGGATGGATGATTGTTTAGTAGTAGTGGGGTAGAAGAAGATGAGGAGAAGAAAGGGGTGTTGGGGCTGAGTAATTTAACGAGGAGAATCGAAAACGTACGGATGTGGACATTTGAAGATGAAATATACTCCGCATATATATATATATATATATATATATATATATATATATATATATATATATATATATATATATATATATATATATATATAGGCTGGTTCAAGTGAGAATGCACCTTGATGAAAGAAATAAGAATAAAATCTGGCCTTTGGATCTGATGCATCGTGCGGCTCAGATTGCATTCTGCACTCAAAATTTGAGATAGTGCATTTTCAAAGGATTATGGTGCATTTCAACATGATGCATTTTCAAACCATCTTGGTGCACCTAATTTTGATGCAATCCTAACCCTTAGATCTCCCAATCTAATGCACCAGATTCATTCTTATTTCTTTCATTAGATTGCATTCTCACCTGAACCAAAATCTATATATATATATATATATATATATATATATATATATATATATATATATATATATATATATTTGTAAGAAAACAAAATTTTAAAGAAATTCTCCCTTAGTTCTCACCCAGTGTATTTGTCCAGTTTAATTTTTTTGAGTCAAACTGGACAAATTTTGAGCTTCAATTAAAAAAAATTGTAATGTATTTTAACATAAAAATGACTTTATTGGATCTATTGTATTAAGAAATTTCAAAATTGTATTTTATTATGCTAATATGCAATATATATTGAGAGTAATTGGAATTCAAAGTTTATCGAGTTTAACTCAAAAAAATCAAATTGGACAAATACACGGGGACAAATGTAGTAAATCAGATAAATATTCCTTTTTTCCTCTCACAAATATTAACTCGTTTATTATTTCAACTTATTTTTTTTCTTTAATTTCATTACTCATTTAAATATCTTCCATCCCGTAGGTGGAAGAGTTGTTATTCTGTGATCTTTAAAATAAACATGTACACTAGGGTCAGAGAAGAATTCTGTCTAGATGCACATAACAATGTGTCCATTATTAGTCTAAAAATATAATCGGTCTCATAATTATTTTCCTTATTTTCATTTCAATAACGGAAATTTTTCCGTAATCCTAAAGTCCAGACTCATTTTATAAACCTTAATATAAAAGTACCATACATAAGTTGGGCTCTTTAAAAAATAAGATAATGTCCATGTCGGGCCATAAAAATATATGAAGATTTACATTTTATATGTTGTTAATAACTATTGTATGGTTTGGATTCATAATACAAGGATTAGATCAATTCTCATTATTCTATACAAACAATCGCATAAATTCCCTTTAAAAGAATACTCCGTATCAGTCAATTATGGAATTATGTTTCCCTTCAGAAAAAAAAGCGGTCAATTATGGAAATTTGTTGGAGAAGAAAAATAAAGTTGGAGTGATGTGACAGCTAAGAAACGGGTGGCTTAGGGTCATTGAATTTGGGATTCGGTACGGATTTTAGTCTTTCGGTTGGCACAAAATTATTCTCCTTATCTTGATTTTTAGTTAAAATAAACCCTAGACTACTTACAATCTCTTCCTAAGAAGGAAATATTTTGTTTATTTAGCTGTTAAGATTGAAATATTCATTAATTTGACAAATATTAAATGTTAATAATTATTATTTTATTAAATTTTAATACTTGTATAGTTTTTAAATTTATCAGAAGAATAAACTGTCAATCTAAATGCACAAATAAACGTAATTTAATACTCGTATAATTTACGTTGTCCATGAAATATTTTTTCCTTGGTAAAAAATTAATGTTAAAAAAGTCTATGTCAAAATACTACTTTATCCTATATATAATTCTTACTTACAATTTGAGGGATATGATAACTTTTATTTATTTATATACTTTCAAATTACGTAGTCATATTATTTCTTGGTTTTTTGTAATTTTTTATTATTTATATATTTTCAAATATGAAGAGGAGAGATAAATAAATAAATAAATAAATAAATATACAACAACTTTTAAAGTAAAATTAATTGAAATTTTGTTTCATATTGACTTGCAAGCAATTCATTTAGGAATGGATGTAAGATAAAAAAATTAAATCCTTTAAGATGTGGTATTTCATTTCTAAAGATACGTAAAAATATCAGGAACTTCAAAGTATCCAGACCATTCCGGAAAACAATGAATATGACCAAATCAAATCTTTAACTGTATATTCATATTGTCACATTTTTTTTTTTTAAAAAAAAGAAGATATGAGAGATGCCCGCCGTTTAATTCCTTTAATGGATGGTGTTTAATTTTTCCAGGGGTTCACCCGCTACATTAGGGGGAATGATTTAAATGTGGATCAATTATTACTACAAGTGGATAAAGATGGAGTGGATTACACTATACCCTTTCACTCCCAAAAGGCAAACACATATTTCAATTTGTATTTATCCAATTTAACTTATTCGTTTCAAAATTACGAATTTCAATTACTCTGAATTTATATTGTATATTAGTATAATGAAATAAAGTTTGAGAAAATTATTATAACTTTTGTTTAATGAAAGCCCAAAGTTTATTCTATTTGAGTCGAAAAAATCAATCTAAATTACTAAAATAGAACGGAGTATTCCTTTTGTCCGGATTTAATATTCTCATTTCTCTATGTTTCTGTCAAAATTTGACTCCAAAGTCAAAATTAACTTGTAGGGTGCAATTAACGGGGGTAGGGGGTGTGTTCGGGTCGAGGCGGCCGGGATGGGGGGTTAGGGGGATAGGAACCGTCAATTTTACGAACGGGATGCCGGAGCGTCCTCGGGTCATCCCATGACATTGCCGGGCAATGTCATGGGAACCTTGCCCTTAAAACTTTCCAACAACTCATCTACTTTCACTTTTTGAGTAAGGGCATTTTGGACAAATCCGATCCATGCTCAACCTTCTTTAAAAATGGGAAAAATCAAAATGAGAATATTAAATCTGGACGGATGCAGTATTTGAAATGAATGTGTATGAACTTGTTTTTGTTGTTTGATTGGATTGGATATGACTCTATTAAATTCTTATATGATATCTTGTGATTTAATTTATCATGTAATTTTTTATTTAATTATAGATCAAAGATCTTATATTACTGAGAGTAAAAAGGTTAAAACTGAATAAATACTTTGAAATAGAAGGATTACGTACATTTTTAACATGTTTATGGAAAACGATGTTTACACTCTATTTTTTTATATTGACACTTCATATTGTATGATACTATTCATCCTCTTACATTAATACTACTCCGTAGTATATAAATGTCAATAACAAAAAAGGGAGTGCATTTCCTTTTCTTGTTATGAACATGGTGTATTAGACAAGCAATGAAGGAAGCTTTGCATTGAATAAACGGAGTACATGATTTGATGACTTTGATCATTAGAATAAATTGGTGTGAAATCCGGATTTTAGGAATTTTAAATCTAAAGTAGGAAATCATACCTTCTCTCCTTATATAGGTTTTTGACCGTTATTAGATCTATACGGACTACCGAGTCTACTAGCTTGCCCTACAAATATGGGTGCGAAAAAACATTTTTGACCCTAATTCATTTTTTGTTGTGTTAGACCATCTCCAAGGGAGAGGCTAAAAATGGCAAGCTAAACTTTGCTTTTACACTATGTAGTAATTTTTATTTCTTATCGATACGTCAATTTATAAATAAAATGACAAAAATATTTGTAAATAAAGATATATATTTCTCCTCGTAAACCCCAATTACAAATTGAGGACGGAGGGAATAGTAAAATTAAAATTTCGTGTATCAAACATACTGTTAGACATTTTTAGTTAAAGGGGAGGGGAGGAGAGAGAAAAGAAGGAATATGAATCTTTCTCCTTGTTTGATTTAAAAACATGAAAGAGAGGATTGTTAGAAAATATGAATTCCGAAGGATTTTAGGCTTGAAGTATAAATAAAAATTTGTTTTCAAATCCAACAAAAAACCTAAGAATTTTGCGTGGACTCCAAATCTGCCGATCTTTCTTATCCTCTTCCTACAGGGTTCTTCGTCTTCTCTTCTCTCCCTGCAGATGCAAAGTCCCAAAATCCAAACAAGTGATCCCATAGAAATCCCCAACGACACCCCAACCCAATCACTGTTCCTTTCATGTCTTTTTTCTAGAAGATCTGTGGCGTTCCACTCCAACCCAATCCAATCACGAACGAGAGGACGACTGTTAAATATATTCTTACTATATTTAATATTAATGTATATTGGCAGCTACCATATTTGTATAGGGTGTATTAATTATTATTTTCTATTGTCATTAGGAAACCTTTGTATGTATATGCACATGTAATCTACCATAATGATCATTGGAAATTATTCATTCTACAACGAAGATCGAGAGAATCGGCTGCCAAGGGCGGAGGAGTGGAATTCGTCGGTTGGGTTATGTTCGGGAGCCGCGAGACGGGAACGAAAATCGTCGAGATGGGTACGAGTCTGTTCCTGTTGGCGTCGAGTATTGGCTGTGTCGTCGTCCCGAATCCCGCGGCGGCCGCGTTGTCCCCCAGGACGGTGTAGGTGAACAGGAAGTTCCGCAAGTCCGTGGTGTTTCTTGGTGGTATTTGAGTGATTTTCATTATGTGTTTGTATGTTTCTTGAACATTTAGCAATGCTGCGTATTTTACAGTGCTTATTTGATTGTTGGGTATTTGATTTTGCAATCCTTATTTGATTTTGTGGTGCTTAAATTGTGCTTATTAATTTTTTCTTGATTCTAATAATATGAATTTAATAAAAAAGGGGTGTTTGATTGAATATGGATAAACAAAAAAGATGAACAAACATAGAACCGAAAATCTATCTAAATCAATAAACAAATCTTCTCAAGTATATAAAATTCCATGTAAATCAATAAAAGAGTCTGTCAAACTATGCGTGGAATCATTGGAATTTCTAAATCCATTGCCTTCTAAACGTCTAAAAAAATCCTACAGACGTTTAATTGAATACACCTCTCTTAGTTTAGTTTTTCCTTTCTTCCAAATTAATCCCTCCAATAGTTAAATTCAGACGGAGTCTCCTTCCCTCATGTCCTTCTCTTATTCTTCTGACATTTTTTTCCTTCACCTTGCCACTAAATAAATGATATAAAATAAAATAAAACACAAATAATAAAATTAAAATAAATGAATAAATAAATAAAAACAAAAGAAATCAAGAAACAAATAATTAGAAAATAAACAATTTTTGGGAAAACACTTCATAATTAGACCAAGGCCTAAATAAGGAATGATTAAATTATACGGAGTAGTTGATTTTCTAATTTTGTCATTGATGTGATGGGTAAAAGTTAGATATGATAGAGTGATTTTTAGTAAAAAAAAGTATGATGTGATTGATAATGTATAAACAAAGTAGGTGTAAAAGTAAATTTTTAGGACCATGCTACATTTACACAAAAATATATACCCCATTTATACACCACAGGTTTGCACAAACATTTCGATAGTTTACACCGACACAAGTGTTGGTGCGTTAATAAAAATTCACACGGACACAAATGTTGGTGCATTTAACAAAAATTAGTTTTACACCAACACAACGTGTTGGTGCAAAATTGCGGGGTACAAATTGGGGTACAAACCTTGGAGTACACATAGCATAATCCAAATTTTTAATAGAAAGTGAAGACGTTTTAGTAGATGAGAAAATAATGAAAGATGAAGTGTTTTGGTGAATGGATGAGTATACTAATAAAATAAATAAATAAAATACAAATAAATAAGTAAAAATTAAAATATAAAAATTAATTTAAAAACTAGTAATAATAATAAATATTTAAAATAGGACAATAAATAAATCAATAAATAATAAAAATAGTAGTAAGAAATAATAAATAAAATAATAATAATAATATATAAATATTAAATTTATAAAAATCTTAAAATAAATAAAAAATAAGAAGAATAAAAATTAGAAAAATAAAATAAAATTTAAATATTAAATTATAAAAAATAAATCAAAAAATAAAATAAAAAATACCAGCAACAATTTTTTAAAAAAATTAGATAACAAAATAAATTTAAAAATGAAAAATATAAATATAAAAAATAAAATCTTTTCTTCACCTTCTAACCAAACAGGGTGAAGGGAATCCTCTCTAATATGTTCTGATTCCCTCCTATCCATACCTTTACATCTTTCCCTTCCAACCAAACATACCCTTCGTGTTTTCCAATTTAATTTACGCCATTAAAAAGTTATAATCCCTCCATTTGGGAGTATTTTTTTATATTAACTTGAAACACTTATTTAGAAGTAGGAAAAAAAATACTAAATTTTCATAAATACCGTTGCTTCATTTTGGAGGCGAATTACTTTGGGTTGGTGCAGTGGATGTTAAAGTGAAAATGTATTATTGACATTGTCTTTAAAAAGTAAATTAAAAAATGATAAAATGAAAAGAATATTTCTAGGGACCAAAAAGAGAAGAAGATCGAACTACAGTTCTAGATGAAAGGAGAAGAATTGTTTAATACTAACAAAAAATGTTGTTCTCAGAAAAGACTATATCACGAAAATTTATTCATAATACATTTGGAAGATTTTTTGATACATTATGCTTTCTATACTAACCAGCATGAACGTAATTCTAAGCCTCTTATAAGACCTCACTTCCAAAATCTTAAAGGATCTAAACTTGAATTCTTTCATTCTTCTTATTTCTACGCAACATGCCTTTTCTTTATGCACCCGGTGTCATTACACTACCTACTGATTGGTGGCTTTGTCACCGTTATGATTGATTTATTTTGTTCGTCTTTGCTCAATATTAAATTTTAGTTGTTGATTTCTGGTAGATTGTTTTAGGTTACGAATAGATCCAAGCTCTTACACTATCTTAAAAACGAGAGTAAATCTGTATTAGGTTAGGATTATTTTTGTGTGGTCTGGACGAACCATGAGATCTTCCATGTAGGATTACCCTAGAATGGTCCTAGGTGATTTGCACCTTGTACCACACAACAACATTGTGCATCAAACTTATAAAATGTTTATTTTTCACTCTTATATTCAATAATGTGGGTGAGGTATCCGACCCATAAAAAATACTACACTTACACCATAATTTGTTGATACATCTCAAGAGAGAGTCACATCCCAAAAGCTAGTTGTTAAGGTGGGAGAACTCTTGGCTATATAAATCCATCACCAAGTTCCTCATTTAACCGGTCTGGGATAACGAAATCAATCCGTATCATTCAACCCCCCATAAGGCCCAACGTCCTCGTTGGTCACGGCTACGTTGGTCATGGGCCACGTTGGTCACGACTGGTTTCACCAGGCCACCACTCCGTGGGCCACCACTCCGTAGGCCACCACTCCGAGTTGGCTCTGATACCATTGATACAGCACAAGGGAGAGCCACACCCTAAAAGCTAATTGTTAAGGTGGGAGAACTCTTGGCTATATAAACTCATCACCAAGTTCCCCATTTAACCAGTGTGGGACAATGAAATCAGTCTGTATCATTTGTACCCCAAATTTATACCAAAGATATACACCAATATTTTGATGATTCACACTGACACAAAGTGTTGATATGTTAACAAATTTACATTGACTTTCACACATATTTAGGAAGTGGATAAAATGACATTTTGTTTCCAATAATACCCCCCACTCACCCGTCCCAAAGAAACAACCATCCCCCCCAAAAAAGAGGAAGTAATTAATTAAAGTAAATATCAAATGAATGTCAAATTCTTACAACAACTCTACACATCATCACCATACACACCACACATTTAAAACTTCCGAAAACTAAAGAGGGAAAAGAGAGAAAATTAAAGTGGATTTCCCTCCCAATTTTTCCTTAACTACATCCTCTTCGATAAAGCTAAAAATGAGTTCATTGAAGAATGTTATTTATGACTGCACTTAATTGTAACCAAAATATGGATTACATATCTTCAAATCCTTCTTCATCAACACTTCATCTCTTTGACCTCAACCCCCCTGCTAGTGCCCATGAGTTTGATCTCAACGAAGATCCTACACCGCCTTCACGTGGAGACGATCCTTCTTTTGACGCCACAGTTCCTGCCCTCAGCATCCGAGCTACACCTTCATTTAGAGAGATGACACGTTGACCAGAGGCTATTTCACCACCAACACCTCTGACCCATAGATCGACTACTCGTGGAGTGCATACAGGGCAAGCTGATGAACCTGTGCATGAAAATGAAGAGGAACTGTAGTAGAACAACAAGAGGCCTAGACTATTTGATAATCAAAAGAAGTGCATAGTTGAAATCCTAATGGGAAAAGCCAAAGAAAACTGTAAACTTCAGAGGGGGCCATTAAAGAAGTCGTTACGCAGTTCAACACTAACAGAAGAGTCGCTCACACCTTATGGACCAAAGCAAAGCAACAATTTAATGCAGGCATACCCATTAATGTGCAACCAGAAATGAGGGGGCGTGTGGGCAGAAAAAGAATCACATATGATTTAGGAAAACTGGTTAAAGTTCATTTTTTCATAAAAGGAAAAACATTCGTGCAGTTGTATACCAACTCAATGTATCAAAAAGCACAGTGCACAGGCTATTGAAAGAAAAGCAGATTTGACGTCACACCAATGCAATCAAGCCATTGCCGACAAACATTGGTAAGCTTAAAAGACTATGTTTCTGTTTAGATCATATCATGCCCCAAACAATACATATGAACCCAACATTTCATCACTTTTATGACTATGTTCACATGGATGAGTATCAGAAGTAGAGGTCGAAGGAGTAGGATATTGACACTTTGATCTTCGTCCAGATCCACGATTTTGGATGGATCTACCTCGCGAGGGTGATTCCTCAATCAACATATTAAAATTAGGATATGAGCGCTCTGGATTACCCATAGATTAGGGAGTGGAGAAGACAAAGATTGTGGAAGAGAAGAATTTGAGATGGTGAATAAATCGAGTAATGGCAAAAAAGAAGATGAGATCTGAGGGTGGAGAAGATGAAGAGTCTGTGGTGGAAAATTGAAGCCATCCGAATAAGGATGGGTCTGTGGCGTAAAAGACCAGGGGTATTTAGGTCTTCACATGACAATTTACATTCCATCATTGGAAATGTGGTGATTTTTTTGGGACGAATGAAAAAAGAAAATGTGACAAATGTTTAGGAACGGAGGGAGTATAATTCATATAATTTTATTTTCTTATGTACCAGTATTAAATACGGCGGGGTTCTAGTGACACCGAAATACGGTGCCACTGCGATTTTGAGGCACCTCCGGTATTCCGTTCGCAAAATTGACGATTCCTACCCCCCCTAATCCATTCCCTAAACCCACCACCCTATCTCCGCCCTTGCACCCCACCCCAACCCCGCCGTAAGCCTCCACAAAATGTGTGGCTATTATGCGCATAATAGCCACACATTTTGTGGGGGCTTACGACGGGGTTGGGGTGGGGGTAGGGTGAGGGGTTTAGGGGATGAGTTAGGGGGTACGAACCATCAATCTTGCGCACGCAACGCAGGAAGTGTCCTAAAATGCTAGTGACACCGTGCTCCGGTGTCACTAGAACCTCACCCTTAATCGGTTAATAATATAATTTTATTTGGGTTTGAAAGATCTTTTATATTGTCACTACAAATTTACAATAAAATGTTCGACAAAGATTTCAACCCAAATCCCAATTTGGTTTGCCACTTTACAGTGCTACTTGAACAAAAACCTTTGGCTTCTGGAAAATTTGCCACTCATCAGTAAAAATCAAAGAAGAAAAACAAACCGGACAAAAAGTGAAATTCTCGTGAATCAGTTTCTACGATGAAAATTTGAGCCTTCGTCTCCCTTCTCTCTCTCTGTTGCTCAACCCAGCGATTCTGCTCTCTGATTCTTGTGCCCGTCACCTAGCTAGGGTTTGCTTTCTCCAATCGCGATGAAATCCAGGTTCCCGGCGACTCTGCTCTCATTTGCGGCGGTGCTGCTGCCGCTGCTCTGCATTCAGGCGGTTCCGTTAACATTTGCAGGCACCGCGTACTCTTCTAAGCTCATTCACCGTTTCTCTGACGAAGCGCGCTCCATTTTGGCGGCTAAGGGGAAACATCCGCCATGGCCGAAGCCTGAAAGCTTGGAGCAAGCCAGGGTTCTTCTCAGCAGCGACTTCAAGAGGCAGCGGCTGAAGCTTCAGAAGCAGCTCCTTGTTCCTTCTGAAGGTGGCCAGACTTTTGACTTCGGCAATGAGTTGAGCTGGTTAGTGCAATTTTGATTTGATTTCTGAACAAGTGTTCCGAATTTATTTCTTCTTCACAACATGGGTCGAAGTTTCAAATCATCTCAGCTGTTATTTGGGTGCCTGGAAAACATGATTCGTTTTTAATACTATTACAGTACTTTTGAGTTTGAAATGACATATGGCCTTCCTTGGGAACAACACATTCAATTAGCTTTAGTTTGAAGGCAGCGAACTCCAAATTTGCTAATGGAAGTAGTTTGATGTATCTGATCAATGCACAACCATTAACATGGGGCCACTAGATGTTACTGATATTTAAGATTTCTTTATATAGTTGTGGTTTGGGGAGGAAAGCAATGATATGGCTGAATGATTGACTCACCATCATCCCTATAATCCCAACTCTGCTGATTCTAGCGATATGATTTACTATTATCTCAGTCTTTTCCCCTATTTTTGATTCTATTGTTTTTTCCTCCACGTTTGCCGTACGAATGATTACAAGGTGAGTATTGTGTACCATTGCTGCCACAAGCATATGTATACTAATATATGTTTCCAATCACATAGTCTTTATTTATCCGTTTTTACCAAGAAGATCAATTTTAAAATAGTCATTACCTAAAATGCAGAGATTCTTGAATGTATGCTTCATCAGGGGTTCCATGCTTTAGAGTGGGAAGGATTTACAGTATCTTGATTTAGAAATATTTTCCTATTGTTCTTTTTGATAGGTAAGGTCTTTACTATAGTTACTTGTACTTGCATATTTCGTGGTGTAAATTATCCCAAAAGCATATGTATACTAATATTTGTTTCCAATCACATAGTCTTTATTTATCCGTTTTTACCAAAAAGATCAATTTTAAAATAGTCATTACCTAAAGTGCAGAGATTCTTGAATGTAATTAAATACTTGTAATATACTTCATCAGGGGTTCCACGCTTTAGAGTGGGAAGGATTTACAGTATCTTGAGAAATATTTTCCTATTGTTCTTTTTGATAGGTAAGGTCTTTACTATAGTTACTTGCTTATTTCGTGGTGTAAATTATCCCAAAAGGTCCATGATCTTGACAATTTAAGACAAGCTATCATCTTTACATTTTGAATTCTGTTAACATAGTTCTCCCCATGGGCAGGTTGCATTATACATGGATTGATATTGGAACACCAAATGTCTCATTTCTTGTTGCGTTAGATGCTGGAAGTGATTTGCTCTGGGTTCCTTGTGACTGTGTACAGTGTGCCCCATTGTCTTCAAGCTACTATACTGTTTTGGTATGCTACTGGTCTCCAACTTGCATTTGGTTGTATGTGCGCCTCACGAAAAATTCTACTCCGTAATACATATGCATCCCAATTTAAAAACCATCTTTCCATCTGAAGTTTTAATTCAGTATTGGAGAAATATTTCATTTTGGAAGCACCATTTATTGTTCAAGAAACTATAGAAGTATTTATTCCCCAAAAACAGTCCTTTTCAGGATTCATGACATTCATTTTTTAAAAAATGTAATTCGCCATTGAAAGTTACAAACAAGCTAAATACTCCCTTCGTCCTGAATTTATTGTCTCAGTTTATTTCACAGAGTTTAAGAAAATTGTTGAAAAGTAAAAAGTGAATGGTTGAAATTTGTTTAGAAGAAAGAGAAAGATTATGGACCGCATATTCTTTACTTTTTTAGGAAAGTAAAGAATTGAGACGAATCAAACTTTTTTTGCGACCGACTGAAAATGAAAGTGAGACAATTAATTCTTGACGGAGGGAGTATGATGTTTTAAGTTAGAAAATTATTTTGAAATATTATATGCAGTAGCATTTCATGACTTCGAGTCTTGTACTTTGTCAAATTAGAAACTTGTACCTTGATCAAACATTATTTTGTTTATATGGGTCAAAGTATTTTCCATGGAAAAGTTCCAAATATCATTTGTCCTTGTTAGCATGTAATCCATTTGTTCCAAATAAAATAATCCATATGTCCTTCGGGTTTAACTTGGCAAGTTGGCATGCATTTTAGTAAAGTGGAAATTGTGGGTTTGGATTTTTTTTAGAATAGAGAAAGGAGGTGAACCACATGTCGAAAAGAAAAGTGGAACAAAATTTTGGGATGGTCCAAAAAGGAAAAGGGATCATAATTATGGGACGTAGGGAGCACTACATATTTGCAAATACTATAAAAAATAATATAATAAAAATATTTTCAATACAATTATTATGGTATAAATTTTATGTTTCATTGTAATTTTTTTATATTGTTGGACAAAGTTTGATGCGCAAAAACAAAACAAATAGTTAAAAATGAACAGAAGGAGAATACGCCAGTGAACCCAAAAAATAGTTTCACCAAGCTAGTGTAAAAACAATAATTTAACTCCTAGTAGAAGCCCTTTTTAGCGGTTGATTTTCCCAAGATTGATTGACTGGTGCTCCCTCGTGTCTGGGGCATCTATTATGCAGGATAGAGATATGAATGAGTATAGTCCATCCCGATCAAGCTCCAGCAAGTACCTTCCTTGCAGCCATCAATCATGTGAATTGGGTCCAAATTGCAAAAGCTCTAAGGACCCATGCCCTTACATGGCTAACTACACTACAGAAAGTACATCAAGTTCAGGATTTCTTGTTGAGGATAAGTTGCATTTGGTCTTATTTGGTGAGAATTCACACCAAGCCTCTCCCTTGGCTCCGGTCATAATAGGGTATGTGATGAGTATGTTTGTGCCTTTACAGCTTGACTCGGCTTTGATTTCAATGGCTGAAACTCATTTGTTGTTTCTAAAGGTATGATTAGGAGTCAAATCATTAGAAGTATACATGGTTTGTTAAATAAAAACCAGGACTTTCAAATTACGTAAATTTATCATTTCACACCCTGTATCTTTTATTTTAAAAAAATCTCACGTTAAATCCAAGCCGTAACTCCCAAACACACCCTAAATATTCAATTGCAGATGTGGAAACAAACAGAGTGGTGGCTATTTGGACGGGGCAGCTCCAGATGGTGTTTTGGGATTGGGACCTGGCAAGATATCTGTTCCCAGCCAGCTAGCAAATTCTGGACTGGTCCCACATTCTTTCTCTTTTTGTTTCGACAAGAGCCATTCTGGTAGAATTTTCTTTGGTGACCAAGGTCCTGGAAGTCAAAGATCTACTCCCCTTTTGCCACTTGAAGGGAATTAGTATGTCACTCCTACAGTCCCTTTAATATCTGGAATTTCAGAAATGGAAAATGTACTTGTTCAGTTTCTTATATGTCATATTTTTTCAGCAACACGTACATTGTGGAGGCAGAATATTATTGTCTTGCGGGTTCATGTTTAAAGAAATCTGGATTTCAAGCACAAGTTGACAGTGGTACATCTTTCACGTTCCTACCTTTTGAGATCTACGAAAAAGTTGTTGTTAAGGTACATTATATGCTCTTAAGCTCCTGTTGCACATTTGTGCTTCAATCAGGATTAAGATTCTTTTTTTATTTTTTAATCACACCGAATTTTGTTTTTGTTTGGGTAGTTTGATGAACTAATGAATGGTACTGGCTCTGCCATAGATGTCTTTCCCTACTGCTACAAGGCTCGGTAATGGTGGTTTTTTGAAAAACTTTCATGACCATGTCTTTGGCCAATTCCCATAATGTCTCTTTTAGTATACTTATAATTATTACTTATAAGTTGTTATTCTGTTCTTTCAAATGCAGTTCACATGGTTTACCAAACTTTCCCAGTATGAAGCTCATACTTTCTACCAACCAAACTTTTGTTGTTCAGAACCCCATGTTTCCTATCGGTAACTCTGAGGTGAGTTACTCCCATGTTTCCTTTCCCCATATATGCTTGCAACTGTAAAAATTACTTTTAAGAAATAGGAGCGCCTCTTGGGGTTATGTGAAATTGCATGAATGTAAGGTTACCTCAAGCTGTTTGGCTCACATATTTGTTATGTCGATAAATTGTTAAGGCCTGGGAGCAATCCATAATATTACCAAGGTAACCCTATCATGCCTAATAAATCCATGGTAAGAACATTAGCCCCAGCATTATCTTACATGTAGGTGACTTTAAAAGTAATATGAGAGACCCTGAATCGAACCCATTACAAAGGTATTATGAGATTAACTTAATCAACTGCCTCCTAAGGACAACAAAGTAACGATGCTAGTCATGCAAGTTATGCTTCATTGTTCTGTTACTTTGTAGGCATTTACAAGGGAGAGAAAAATAGTGAAAGATGTTTTTCAAAGAGCAGTCATTGTGTTTATTATGACATTTAGGATCAAACCATTTTGCCCCCACCACTCATGCAGACACACACATACAATGACACTATCCATTGTCAGCATGTGTCTGCGTGAAGGTGAGAGCAAAATTGATGGCAAGGGTGGGGGCCGACTGCATTATACTCGTATTTGATTTGATAAGAAGAATCTCTCACAAGTTTTTTTTTGGGTGCAGGGAGACAACTATTACTGTTTAGGCATACAAGCAACAGATGGAGCATATGGACTTATAGGGCGTGAGTAGCATTTGAAGATGTACCTTAGGAGTAGCAGCTCTCATATACTGAAAATTTTATCATAATCCCCCCTGAAAGTCTGAAACTGTGGTTTGCAGAAAATTTCATGACTGGGTACAAGATGGTATTTGATTGGGAGAAATTGAAGTTGGGCTGGTCGGCTTCTAACTGTAAGTAAATGCTGCACAACACATTCACAAACTCTAGCCTAAGGCCCCATTTGGCAAGAGTTAAATTGACCATTTAAGGCAAACAAGCAACTCAAAACCTACTTATGTTGCTCTTTCTAACAAAGTCCATAAAGGGAGCCTAAGACTAAGAGAAAGAAATGTGGTCGTTGTTCTTTGACAGGTAGAGGAGCAGATAAAACAGCTGTAACGCCTGCCCCGAGTGGGTTGTCGGAAAATCCACTGCCAACAGATCAACAGCAGAGAAGCCCGCGCATTACTGCATACCCCCCTGCCATTGCAGGCAGGACTCCTCCAACGCCGCCACCATCATCATCACCTCCACCTTGTACCATTAGATGTCAGCACTGTACTCTCATCCTCCTCATTCTCCTACTTTTATTCATGTTGTTTTGACATCTATCTATGCCGCTGTATTTTATTTATCTGTAAATTCACATATATTTTGTTTTCTTAGTGAAGCTTTCCCATCAGGCCCTGTCTTCAGAGCGAGTTACTGACCATTCTCTGTCATAGAATAGCCGTTCAGTTTGATTTTTTTTTTTGTGTGAATCAAATTGGATAAATTTTATTGAAAAAATCAAATTGGACGGATAGGGAGATACTCCATACTATTTTCTTTCAGTGTGAGTTTGGGGTCTTTTGGATCCCAAAAAATACAAAGGGTAAGAGAAGAGCTTTAGAAGAAAAGAGTAATGATAAAAGGATTCAATGAGTTTAAGATGAGTTTTCAATGAAAATTACAACGGCATTGCAAAAGCACAATGAATTGAAACCAGGCAAAGTGAAAGGGTCAATATATGTCATTGTTAAAGACCCATGGCTGGCGAGCGAAAAGCTCCCGGCCGTTCATCTGCACCAATCCGGCGTCTATGTCCTCCGCCCTCTTCCGCTCCGCTTCTGCCTTCTTTGCAGACGCATCGGCTTCCTGAACCGATACGAAGCATCAGAAAAGTGACAAGGATAAAAAAACCCAGAGATAAGATTCAAATCATGAGCAAACCCTAGGTTGGGAACCTTTCGGCGTTTCCAGGAGAGGAATTGATCGGTCGTTATGCGATTCGGATTTAGGACTGATTCCGCCGGGTTGGGTTCTAGTTGCTGTCCGCCGCCGCCTTCTGCTTCCGCTCCCATTCTCTTGATTTGCCGTCGACTCTTCTGCAGCGGCTCAGCGGGATGGTTCACTTTAAATGTTCGACCAATAATATTTTCATAAATATATAATGGCTTGTTTGGTATACGGAATTGATGGAATTGAGATTAAAGTGAAAGTTAGAATTCTATAGGATTGATTTGGGTAGAATTGAATTTTCTAATTCTAGTTCATTTTTGGTGCAACTACTTCCAAATCTACATATTTTTGTGTTACGAAACCGTAGAATTTGAATTGTTGACTCTATTTCCAATTCCATAGTTTGAATTTTGTGTACCAAACAGAGCCTAAAAGCATTTTTCGATACAAATATTATGATGTACTCCATTATCTTTATATTTGAATTCATTATACTCTCTTGTTCTAAAAAACTCACAATTTGACTTGGTACAAAATTTAAAGAAAGTGAAAGTGTGTAGTTGATAGTAGTGGAAAGAGAAATATTGTGAGTTACTCATAATTTTTAATTTTATATTTAATAGTTGATTTGCATCTAAATTTCCTCTTTTATATTGAAAAAAAGAGTTTTGTGTCATTTATAGTCGAACTCTTTAAAATTTACACGGACTCTGCCAATGGTTCTCGAACTTTAAAAAATATTCCATCAATGGTCCTTTTGCACCAGATTTAGTAGCGCATTAATCACACACTCATCAATATATTTGTTGGAGCTTGATGAAAAAAATGTCATGAATTGATGAAAAGATTGGTCAATTGATTCGAATTTGGTTACTGACTCCTACAGTCAGAATATTATCCTCAACTTTCATGAAGTTTAAAATATAGAAAAAGTGTTTTGGAAAACATATTGCAGAATTGCAAATGATATATGAGTTTTGATGAATCCACACTTACACTAGATGAGCGTGTGAGTAACGTACTTTCAAATCTGACATAGGAAAACCATTGATACAATGTTTTCAAAAGTTCAAAGACTATTGGTGCAATGTTAAAGTTTAGAGAAAAATCATACAATTGTTTAAGAGTTTGGATGTAAATGACACAAAAACACTTTTAAAAAAGGGATAAACTTCATCTTCAAGGATTGCTTAGGACCAGTGGCATACCTACAATGGTCCAAGTGGGGTCAAGTGCACCCAATAAATTTTTTTCTAATGCTAGCTACAGTACAACATTCATGCATTCCTATTTTACACTCCTACAGCTCTTAGTACGAATTACTCCGTATAAAGTATCATAGAGTATCTACTTTTTTACTCAAGGTATTGCCTTAGTTTTTAAGAGAGTAGCTTTTGTTATTGATTATTTGATAAAATAAAATATTCTCGTTACTTCATGTTTCATAGAACTTTTGACTTAATTTTTAATTAAGTTTTGTTTTTAATTTCTATATCAATATTAAAAAATTTAAATTTTATTTTAGTTTACATAAAATGTAAAATATTTTTGGAACGGAAATAGTGGATATTATGTGTCAATATATAAAGAATGAACTGTCACAAAACCCCGTAGATAGAGGATTTCTTAAGCAATAATTAACAAAGAGGTTAAATTGATTTTTTTTTCCTTAAAAATTGGAAAAAAAAGATAAACTTCCGACATGAAACCCCAAACGAGCCTTAAGACTAGAGCTGACAAATCGGTCGGTCAAGTCAGGTTAGAGTTCAATCACTTCAAGTTTGGGTTATTTCGGATTCAGGTCAATTCGGGTTCGGGTTGAGAACTCTATGTTCATGACCCAGTGTCATCGGGTTTGCGTCGACCCAATGGATTATGGCTTTGATTTTTAAAATTTTTAATTTAACATTAACACTTACATTTTCTATTAAATAAATTCGAAATATGTAAAAAAGTATTAAATCTATAAAATTATTTTATTCTAAACTCTGAAGTAATTTTTAGATCTATAAATCAATATAAGGAATTTAAAAATGCTTAAGTTTTGGGAAAAAAATAAGATAATTATGCAATATCATTAAAATTTTGTCTGAAAATATAAATTTATACACTAAAAACGAATAGTAATGTGTATGATTTTGAAAAATTCTTACTTTAGCGGGTCGGTCAGGTCGGGTTCAATCGGGTTTGACCCATTTTTAGCAGGTCATTTCGGGTTCGGTCAAGTTCGGGTTTGGTTATCAAAACTTTTGTTCAAAACCTAGTATTTTCAGATCAAATTTCGGGTAAAAAATAGGTCAAATCATTTTTTGTCAGGTCTACTTAAGACACACAAAACATCTTAAGTTACTATGGAGCAAATAAAATGTTTGGCTCATGCTACATTTACACCACATATTATACCCCATTTGCACACCGCAGTTATACACAAACATTTTGATGGTTTACACCGACACAAGTGTTTGTGCGTTAACAAAAATTTACACGGAGACAAAGTGTTGGTGCATTAACAAAAATTAGTTTTACACCAACACAAAGTGTCAGTACAAACCTACGGGGTACAAAGTGGGGTACAAAAGTTGGGGTACAAGTAGCTTTATCCAAAATGTTTTGAGTTGGTCGGTTCAAAAAACCCACACAAGCATGCATATAGTTCCGCATTTGGTCAAAGATTAGAGAAGCTGGACGCTATCCCGTCCACGTACATGCCTCTCATTCTCGTCCTACGAGTCCAGTTATTATCGCGGGTCCCGTGGGATCGTTGACCGCAGATTTTCTCACCCACGTTGCGACGACTTTCCGCTAACTTCAAATCCTTGTTATTAAAAGCATGAATGGTACTCGTCCCATGAAACATGAGATGTTTTGTTTTTTGAAGAGATTTAAGAGAGTGTATTTTGGTATTGAATTTCCAAAAATGTCCTTTGATGTGATGGGTAAAAGTAGGATTTGATGAGTAGATTATTAGTAAAAAAGTATGATGTGATATGTATGGTATGAAAAAGTAAGGGGTAAAAGAGACTTTTTAATAGAAATGAGAAGTGTTTTATGTGACGGATGAAAAAAGAAAGGAGAAAGGTTTTATGGGACGGAGGGAGTATATGATATAGTTACATTTTTGTGAAATTTGCATTAAATAGTACTAAAATATAAGTCATTTTTAGTGTAGTATTTATTTTTTTTATTTTCTAAATAGTACTTGGATAATGTAAAGTGACATCAACAATGTCCAGAGATGATAGATATTTAGTTTGAACATTGACCAGTGGTACTATATTAGAAAATAAAATATATGATACTATATTGGAAAAGTTACTCTATTTTAGTATTATTTAGATTAATTCCCCTAGATTTTTTGAGCAAATACTCCATACTTTTATCGTTAAAAAAATACTCTACTTCGTATTCGTCCGAATATATAAATATAATTTGATTTTTTTTAGAGTGAACATTCCCTACTTCGTATTGCATATTACTCCCACCGTCACTAAATATTTGTCACATTTGCTTTTTCAGCAGTCGCGAAAACTTTCGTTTATTTCTACGTTTTCATTGGTTATTTGATAAAATAAAATATTCTTGACACCTCTTGTTTTGAAGAACTTTTCATGTAGTTTTTTGATATGTAAATTTTATGTTTTATTTCTATACCAATATATAAATAAAATGAATTGAAAAAACTTGATATTTTATCTCGGGAATATAAGTGTGACAAATATTTAGGGACGGATGGAGTAATATAACTAGTAAACTTTAAAAATATTTTTTAAAAAAGCACTCTCAACGATGGATGGAAAACTTTTGTAAAAAAATAATCTGTAATTTGATTATAAAACCAAATTCAAAAAATTTTATAAAACCATATGTAATTTGATTATATTAGTTTAACAAATAATTACTGTAAATATGGAGAACATTAAAAAAAAACAAAGTGTAAAATGTGAGTAGGGAACAAGGACGAATTGTGATAAGAATACACTTCCTTCCTTCCTTGCTCAATTAATAGTCTGAATGATGTTTTGTGAACGAATGTGGACATGATTGCGTTCAGATTCATCATACCATGGTTCTGTAATCTACTCCGGTATTAATTAATTCTTCCACTGACATTATAAGGTGCAAATTTCGACTCTGATTTCAGAGTCACAGGAAAGAAAATAAATTGAGTCACATTTGCGCCGGCTGCAGGGATTTTATTGTCTTGGCCACAATATCTGCGATTGCTGATCTTGAATTCCTTGACCGGTGAGCGCAGCGCAGCAGCACAGCACAGGTAGAGAGATCATCATCATCATCATCTTGTTTGTTGAAGGAGAAGCCACTAAATGCATATATATATATATATATATACTACCTCCGTCCCGGAAAACATGGGAGTTTTGGTTTTAGAGAGGGATTTAAGGGGAGTGTATTTTGGTATTGAATTTCCAAAAATGTCCTTTGATGTGATGGATAAAAGTATGATTTGATGGATAGATTATTAGTAAAAAGGTATGATGTGATAGGTAGGGTATGAAAAAGTAAGGGGTAAAAGTGACTTTTTAATAGAAATGAGAAG